TTTCTATAACTCGATAGAAACACGGTACATGTTTTCTATTTCTTAAAAATATAATTTCAAATATTATCTTGTTATTACAGTAATTAGGTTTCTTAGTGACCTCTCTCTCTTGCATTGCTTTATTCTTATCAAGGTCTGGCCTATCATTAACTTTTTTGACCAGCAAGTCAACATAGGCTCCAAAAAGCTGGTGGACGAGCATAGTAACAAGTGGCCCTCCAAACGCATTCTGCTACAGGTAAATACAGCTCTTGTTTACTGACTGACGTAAAACTGCAGTAATAGACTTGCAAGTGACGGCAGGTGCTGGAAAACATGTAAAAATCTGCTTGAAATCTGAATTGCCTCAAATAAACTCTGACAACGTTTCCCAATAGGGAATAAAACTTCCTCGCAAACACATTTAGTTCAGTTCTGGCCCTATATCTGTAACAATCAAGCAAGGCTGATTACTATGTAGAAAGCTTAACGGGACAACGACATGATAGAGTCGAAACTGAAAGCCAAGAATTGCAACTGTGGACAGCTGTTTCGACCTGGTCGGGCCTCGTCAGCACGGTGTAGCTGTAACATGAAGTAAATATATCTGTCACGCAACTCTTCCAAGAGCGTAGCGTTGCGTGACAGAGAGAGGGCCAGAACTGAACTAAAACCCATCACGTCCCCATGTTTCTAGGTCTTTCTAACCACATCATCTTATTTATTATTTTGCTCTGTCTGGCGTGACAGAAAACGCGACAACAATTAACCAATGTGTTGTGTGACGCTTTTTCCTTCAGCGTCAACTATTGCGAGCTGTGCCTGTGTCTGAGATTCATTACCAATGGAAAGAGATGTCCAGCCGCTTCTGGGTGTGCGGGCATGATCACAAAGTGTACGCACCCGACTACCCTCAGCAGTGCTGCTGTGGATGCAGTATTCTGTAGAGAGTTTCTCGACCTAGGAGCAGCAAGCATATAGAAATTATAATACAATAGGTTTTCAGAATTTTTGTAAGTGATAGGTTTTATAGGTTTCCCATGACCGTACATGATACAATAGAGGAATTTAAGACAAGTTAAAACATGTAATCTGAGCCAAGTGCGGGAAAATTCGCATGCAACTAACCCCGCAACTAACTTAAGTTTCGTTTTAGTATTAACACCGTATTTTACCAATAGATTTATCAAAATTTAGTTTACAAAATAGTTGGAATTTGTAATTCCAAGCCAGATTAAAAATGAAGTTAGCGGCTCGTAAAACGAGCAGATTATGTATTAGGAACTATCAAATATTAGGTTATCGTTTCTTTTTTACAAGCCTTATGGTCAAGAATTATTGTATCGTCAATATAACGTAAAGCACAATAAATGCTCGAACGTTAAAATCAATGTCTACTGTTCAACTCTCCTAAGGAGATAGCCATATGTACAGGTTGTGGTAAATGCGCGCATCACTTGACTGAGTGGTTCAAGACTGGCCTTGTTATTCTATTGA